ATAGCTATGGATGGTTTTTTCGACAACTTCAGCTCCACGTCACTAAGGGGACGAACCTGACAATAATCTCTGATCGGCACGCCGACATTAGAGCTGCCATCTTAGGCCTGGATCCAACCTGGAATTGGTCCCAAAGGTGGTGCATACGACACTTCAAGAGCAACTGGAACCATCATTTCAAGCGGAAGAAGCTTGCTGATAATTTGTGGTGGATTGGTAAGCTCTCTATTGCTCTCAATTAACAATATCTTGTAATATGGAGAGCTGTACACTTGTTAGACTCTTTCTAAAGAGATGCATGCCTAATGAAATGGGGTTTTAAGCGATTATCATGGTCCTCCCATTTCCTGGGAAAATCGGGTTTTAAGCGATCTTCGGATCCCCCCTTTTCTGTCAAACAGGCTGTGTTTCTAAGGAGGTGTATACCTCTCCTAAGATTCTAATGAGAGTATGACCGTGTTGTTTGAAATTGTACTAAACTGACGATCATTGACTAACATACTACTTTCTTGTGTGTTATTCAGCGGTTGCATACCAGGAGAAAAAATTTCAGGAGAAGTTGCAGAAGATGCGCGAGTTATGCCCTGAAGGGGTACAGTGGCTGGATGGACACGATCTATCCATGTGGACATTTCATAAAGATGGAGGGAAAAGATGGGGTATTGCCACAACCAACTCAAGTGAGAGTATCAACTCCGTTCGTGCACTGCCAATCTCTGCCATTGTGGAAATGACTTTTTGGAAAACGAATGCATGGTTCGTGAACCGACTCCACTGGGCAAGGACGAACGAGGCACAGGTAAAGGTCCATGACTATAAAGTCACTGAAGTAATGGATAATGACAATCGCAAGAGCAGTCGACATAATGTCACCGTTATGAATCGGGCAACTGGTGAGTATAGTGTGACGACTGGACATCGGGAGGATGGTAGAAGGGGGGGCCACCGTCATGAAGTTTTGGTCAATTTCAAGATCAAAGTTGGTGAGTGATCATGCCAGAAGTATCAGGGGAGAGGGTGGCCTTGTTCTCATGCAATGGCCGTAATTAAAAGCAGGAGCAAAGACCCCCGTCACTTCGTTAGTCCATTCTTCAATATCGACTCACTCAAAAACAACTATGGACGGAGTTTCCGTGCATTGCCTGATGAAGGTTATTGGCCGCTGTACGATTGCCCTCGTGCACCATTGCCCGATAACAAATTAGAGGAACCCTCGTGCACCATTGCCCGATATGACCGGGGAATTTCTGGAGATGCCAATGAACGATGTTCTCCGGGTATGGATCGAAGACGATCTACAAGAAAGAAATGAGTAACGTAAGATTAATTAATTAGAAAAATACATGTAGTCCCATGGAAAAAAATATAAATGGATCGCAGTATAGAAGTTACCTCTCCTTCCCAAAGTCGCGCAAACCTCCTCCGATACTCGTCCAACTTGTGTTAGACAAGGTTGTCGCATGTGGTGTGTCCGAGCCACCTTATTAATAAGGCAATAATGAAACTACAATAAGATAAAACACAAGGGAAAATGTGTTATGACTACATGATGGGGTATGAGAAGTTTACCTTGTACCATAAGCTTCACCTCTTAGGGGATGATCGATTGGCCAATCCCTGTCTGGACGTTGGACCGGTGCAATCCATGGCATATGCTCCCAAGCCCAAAATTGGACGATGAACATTGCGCCGCTGACCTCCCTCGCAGCCTTTAGAGACGCATTGCACAAGTTGTGGTAGATCATAGCTAGGCAAGCGGATGCCCAACTATACTCCCCATCTCCTCCCAACTACTGAAGATGATCCTAAGCCATCCACAGCTAAGGAGATTGCTTGATTTCTTGGAGAAGAACACTCCTCCGATCATGCCTATGAGATAGACACGAGCATATCTCTCCTTCTCATCCTCCGGACTTTCCTCGGTTAGGGGATGACTCTCGTAATGGTCTCTAAAATACTTCGTCAACCATGTAATTGAGACTTGGTGTTTCCTCATTGGTGGCATGCGATCGGTCGCATCAACTCAACCCTTCACCGGTACTTTCACTCCCAAATGACTGTGGATGAAATGAACCCAACCGGGCATACCGTCACGATCCTCGGGGGGATGATCATTCACGCACACCGGTTTGCCGTCGATGGGCAGATGGGTTAGGATGGCGACATCCTTTAGCGTGATGGTGGCCTCTCCTTCTCTAAAGTTGAAACAATAGGTCTCCTTTCTCCATCTCTCGGCTAATGCGGTGATGAGTTGGCGATCAATTTGGATGCCGTTAAAATGCCTAATCGAGTCTAACCGTGCCCTTTTGAGAAAGGGCAAGATAGCTGGGTGGAATGGGAGCACATTGGTGGTACCCCTGTAGCGGATTATTGTTTGTGCCTCCTAGCGAAAATTTACACGTTAATTATTATATATTAGTAAGGGTTTTTTTCTTATAACTAAATTAATTAAATTAAATTATGCGACATCAAGCAGAATTTTATTATCATAAAAAGACATTTCATATTATCATAAAACAAAAGTCCTAAATTAGTTAACATAATAACATTGTAAATGAATAATAATCTAAAGAGGTACATACATATTATCGTAATACAAACATACTAAATTAATTAACATAAATAACATTGTTAATGAATAATAATTTAAATAGAAACATACATATTCAAATGTTTGAAATTAATAAAATTCTTTTTGTGCACATAAAAATAAATCGTATTGGTTGTTTGGTAAATAATTTAATCGTATAGGTTGTTTTAAATAATTTAATCGAATACAAAGCAACACTCGTTAGACTCTTAGAAGAGGTATACATCTTCTTAGAAACGCAGTCTTTTTGACAGAAAAAGGGGGGATCCGAGGATCTCTTAATACCCGATTTTCCCAGGTAATGGGAGGATATGATAATCGCTTAAAACCTCATTTCCTTAGACGTGCATCTCTTTATAAAGAGTTGAAGTAAGTGGCGCTATGTATTCGATTAAATTATTGAAAACCACCAACACGATTAAAAAATCAACATAAATTTATTTTATATTACACTAAATACATTAACAAAATAAAAGAAGGACAAATGGTGAAGAATTGCATGTACCGGGTGTTCCAAACATCCCTTGACCGATGGTTGGGTTGGTCGTACAAGTCGGTTGGATCCAACGGTCCTTGCTCGAGATAATACCGTTGGTTGTATATATCGACGTCCTCCCCAACCTACGATAAAATAACAACGAGGTTAGTACATAGATTAATTAAAAAACTTATAACAACAACAAAAATTAAACCAGAATAATGAATACGTACCGCTTGAAATTCATCAACATAAACTCCTTCTCCTTGCCACCAATCGGCCATTTTTTCGGCGCAATTCGGACAGAGCTTCGGCTCGGCGGGTTTTGAGGAAAAAACCTAAGAAATGTTTTCTGATGGCAGATCGGACTTAGCCGCAACCAACATACCACTATTTCCTAGGCTTTTGGGAGGGGAGGGTTTAGAGAGATAAATTGTAGAGAGAGAAGGAAGAATGGGTTGTGGTGTGAAGAAATGAGAGGGGAAGGGGGGGTGTGAAGAAATCAGACCGCACCCTCCAGGGGTGGTTGGGTAATTTTGCCCTAAGGGAAATCGCACCCTCCCGATGCGTTTTGCGCTTCCCTAGGGTTGACCGCATCTCGGGCGTGCGATCTGCAATCCTTGGCGCGGATGGCTCCGCTGGCAAACGTTCAGCCGCCCGATCGCCCCTCCATCCAACGGTCTTGAAGACCGTTCTGTAGCAGCAGTAAATCGCATCGCCCTAGTGCGTTTTGTGAACTGGAACACACCCCTATGATGCGTTTTATAAGTAAAACGCACCCTTCTGGTGCAGTATACTTATAAAACGCATCTTAGGGGTGCGTTCCAAAAGAATTGGTGTTATTTCTGTCAATTTTTTCATATGGGTGCTAGTTTTGTATTTTTTTTTAAAGGTGATATTATTGGAAAAAACTCAAGAATTTTTCCGTGATTTAGTGTGATTTGTATGGTTTGGTATAAATGAATTTCATAAGTTTTGAGAAATTCATTTTGAAATAAAATAGTTTTGTATTTGGTATTGAAAAAAATTCATTTTCAATTCTAAATTTTGAATTCTATGGAATTGGAACTAGTTATAGCAATTCTCTTCGAGATGGAATTTCCAAATGAATTCCACAAGTATTTATTAATTATAATAGAATGACATAAATACCTTCCTTTTATTAACTAAATTACTTATACATATGACATACCAAACACAAGAATTCATTTGACAATGAATTCTACGCGACATTTTATTTTATTTCTAACGATTTGAATATAGCATACCAAATATAGGATTTCATTTGAATACAATGAATTCTACACGGTAATTCATTTTCCACTTAAATGAATTCTCGATTCATTTGGTATCAAACGGTCTGTTGAGAACAATAAAAAAATTTGAATGTGCAAAAGATTAAAGACGACGCAACAAAACTCTTCAAATCGTTTTGTAAATACCACATAAAATCGTTTTAGGACAAAATCATGATAACTTCTAGTAGGTAGGGATGACAATGAGTCGAGTTTGGTGCAGATTGTACTAAACCAATCCCCATACCCATTTTCATTTATCAAAGCCATACCCTCCCCATCCCCATGTGGGGGAGATTTTGCATCCCCATCCCTGCGAATTTCGAATACCCGAGGGTAATCCCCACCCCGTACATCTGATTATGATTATAACTAAATTAACACACTTGAATTCAACAAAACATATAACTACTGGGTTGAAACATCAAACCTAATCAATGATGAACCTAATAAAGAACCACTGATAATTTTAGTTAGATCATCCAATTCCTACGAAGTTCCATAAACAAAGTACCAATAAATAATCCAACACCATATTATTCATCTCCAAAACACCTACTAAACTATAAAAATCCACACGTGAAGGAAAGATGTGTGAGTCGAATGTTATTACCACTATTACACTGCTGAACGGACGATGAGCAAAAGAACCGACGAACTGAAGGAAGGCAACAAAGGGTCAAGGAGGGGTGGTGTTCTGGTGGAGATGCTATTGAAGAGGGTAGGAGCGGAGGCAAATAAGGACGTGAGAGAGGAGGTTTAAGCGTTGCCTTGTCGAGTGAAGGGAGGGGAAACTTGACGGTTGAAGACTTGAAGAGAATATCTAGGGCTAGAGTTAGAGACGCGTAAGGAAATTAGGGTGGCTTATATGAAATTAAACTTTTAGTACTTATTTGTTTTACAATTACAATAACCCTTCAGCTTTATTGGTGGATTGCGTTATACGAAATAAGTAATGGCGGGGAGGATATGGGTATGGGTATGGACGGGGCACTCAAATTCATGCTCGCCCCATCCCCACGAGCTTGTTTGCAGGTATTACCCATATCCGTCCCATACCCAGTCAATGTGGAGATTCCCCTCATTGACCGGGTTTGGTAGGGTCGGATACCCGCGATTACGACTATAATTGACATCCCTACTACTAGGGCTGGCTATTTGGTCCGGGCCATTTGGTTTTACCCGAAACCGGACCATATAACCCGGATCGGGACCGGACTGAGACCGGATAGCAAACAATCCAATCCAATCTTCGGGCTTAGATTTGAGGTAAAAACCGTTTGGGACGGGATTGAAAACCGGATAAAGACCGGATAAGAGAGCCCAACACCCAAAACTTAATCAACTTCTCACCCTTTGAGTCATCAGGCCACTCAAATCCCCACAAGCTCAATCTAAAATCAAGATCGAATTGGGACCTGACCGGGTTAAGACCGCACCGAATCAAGACAAGACTATATCAAATCCAATTTTTGGTCCTTATATTCTCAAAGTGCATGGTGCGATCGCGCACACAATATTTTGAACCACGACGTGCAAACCCGGTCAAAAAATTCAATTTTTTGACAATTTGATTAATCATTTTTGGATTAATTAATTATATGTTTGATTATTGTGAAAGAAGTAATCCATCATAAGGTAATTTCTGTTCTTCAGAATTATAAGTTTGTTGCCGTAAGAACTCATTTTCATGTGTTCTTCATCTCCTTCTCGCTTTCCTTCTCTGTATCACAAACGCAGAAATATGCAAGTTGACAGTCGCTACTTTAGATTTTGGTTGGAGTGACTCCGGTTAGTGATTTCCCTAATCCTATCAGCAATTGTAGTAAAAGTAAATAAATACTCTAAGAAAGGGTGAAAATCACCACTTATCACAGAACTCACTCTATTCATTCATGTTTACCACTAAACTATACTTTAATTTAACAAAACCATTGAATTTCATATAATACACCACCATCCATCACTTCCATCCAATTTTTATGAACGCCAGATGTTGACGCGATGCTAATGATGCTGATGTGGCAACATTGAATTCATCTGAGTTGTCAAGAACTCAGCCACGTCACAACTATATATCCTAGTCGCACCGCTGAGCTAAAAAGGAATATATATATATAATTAAGGTAAGGGAACCTAGCTTGGCGACAGCAAGATATCCGCCTTCGAGCTCGGTTCCATACCATAACGTCCAGCCTCGGCCTCCAGAAAATGATCACAGAATTGGACGGCGGCGGGTTCAAGGAGTTCCTGGAGATGAACACTCAGGAGGTTGGTTCCGAGGAGGCAATGGTCAATGTGAGGGCCGGGTCGTGTTCTCCTTGGACGACATCGAAGGCGACTGATAGATTACCGCGGAGAGTGCCGCAAGATGATCGGCGGCGGCGGCGGCGATAATGATGGCGACGGGACGATTGATTTCCAAGAGTTTAAATGTTTAATTTAACCTCCATTGATGGAACTGATCCAGATCTCAGTCTCTCTTTCATTTTGTTGAATTAAGATTGCCTCTTTCATTTGTTTATTCGGTTTGCTTGGGGCATACAGTGACTAATTGACAAGGATGGGAAAAAGTAATTAGGGTTGGATATCTTTTGCAGGATGGGGAGGAGTTTAGCAATACAGACCGTTTTAACTTTTAAGGCTAAAATGGTGCTGATATAGCTGCCTGCATCTGCATGGACATGGAGTACTAGAAAGAAACTAGAAGCTACAAGGTTAGCACCTACAAAGTTAACACCGTTAGCGCTTCGTTTGTATTGGTAGGATGACATCCATAAAATTTGGACCAAAGTGATGGATGGTGGCCTTTTATATTAGGTTGAGTGGTTTAGTTGAACTAAAAATGAGTTGAGTGGTAAACATAAATCAATAGAGCAAGTTTCTATTAACCAAGGCAACAACCATTTGAGTGCATGGTGGGCGAAGACAGCCTTCCATATCATAAGTTGGGGGCTCTATGGAAAGAATGCAGCTTGAGAATATTCGAAGAAAAGGTAACCAATGTCAATCATTTGTTATCAAATAGGATTGCATGATTCCTAGTTGGCTGATAAGTGCGAAGAAGGTGGATCGAGAGACTGCAGAGGCTTGGACCAGTTGCTTAAGAAGAACACTATTGCAACCAAATGGATGTAACTCCAACCTAAGAACCATCAACTTTGTGCTCGAGCAATTGAGATCCTAGTGCCGTTGCCTGGATGAGTGGGCACTCATTGTCTGATGTGACTATACCGAATTTCGAGCATTGTTCGCAAGGGAAGAAAAAAGAGTAAGAGGTTCTGATTATAATTTGTTACAAGTTGCTAGTTATCCTAGTTACATCGGGAGATCTGAGTGGCTAGCCCCAACCTACCTAGCGAGTACCTCTTCTCCTTGTGCCAATGCCCCTTCCTCTCCTGCTTGTCGACCAAGTCACATCCTTCGAAGTTGCTGTTGCTTTCTCTTGAGCTTCTTTTCCCTCACCGTCACTACCTTCATCGAAACTTTCAGTTCTGTCAGTCGATTCTCCTTTCTCTTCTTCTTCCTCCTCGCTATCCTCTTCATCTTCTTCTACTTCTTGTGCTGGCTGCTTTTTCGAAATTTCTTTCTTGGAGAGTTGATCTCGAAGCTCCCTAATTTTCCGCTTCTTCGAATTCAGAACTGCAAGGAACTAGACAACAAACAAGGGAATTAGTTGTACTATGGAACGCTAATGTTGTCGATTGGACTCAAATCAAGTGTGTGCCACAACTTCTAATGGAAGAAAGTTGGTCAATCACTGCTGCCATTCTGTATGCTTCCCTATTCTATCAAGCAAATATCAAGCCAGCAACGACATTGCAGTAAGAGCATTATACACTAGGTGTTAACAAACAAGAAGTCGGGTGCAATTAAGCTCAAAATTTGGAAGACTTAGTGCAGCCCCAAAGCTAGATAGATACATATTAGCGCACAAAGTACAGAATTCAGACAGTCGAATCAGCTAACCTTGGCATAGATGTCAGACTCAAACTCCAGTTTCTCACTGCAATACTTCTCACTTTGCGCCAAACATTTCTCAGCTTCCCCTTTGACTCGCTCGAATGACCGAGTCTTTCTAACAACTTCCTCCTACAAACACGCCAAAAAAGACTTCTTAAGTGCATAATGACAAGAGGAATGACATTTACAAGGACCTTGATCATAACAGAAGAGGGCAAACAGCCGAACGAGATTGACACAAGAATGCATAGAGTCTCACACTGAGCCTTATGTTTGCATCCATAAGAAAATCCAAGATCCCTGCAGTCGTCTTCTTACTATCAGGAGATGGCTGACATTTCCATCTCCATTGTAGCGTCATTCCTTCCTTTTCAAAGCTCCATGATAACTGCAACCCCTCAAACCACCACCAAACCATTACAAAAACCACATTCCAGATTTGGGGTCGGTTCCATAATTAACAGCATCAGAAGGTCGAATCATACAATCCCTTCAACCTTCCTAACCTCTAATGACGTTTGATTCACATAAGGGGAATTCGGAATCCAAAAGCAAACCAAATTGAACACAAAGTTCCAAACGGGACAAAAATTAGAAGAAAAAAAGCGAATCACTAACTCGTTTGCAGCCATCTCCGGCATCATCGAACCTGTAGACCGAGCCAGGGATTTGAAACCCTAGGTGCTTCTCCGCCAATTGGATATACTCGGAAACTGGCTGATCCCACTGCGCCGCTCTATCTCTCACATCCTCTTCCCTAGCTGGCAAATTTGAAGCAAGAGCTCGGATGATAAAACCAACCCGGAGAAACGGAGAGATTCAAACAAGAGAGTAAAGAGAAGAAGGGGGAGATATAGGTTACCGAGGCAGACCCAAGAGTGGAGGCCGTCGGTGATGGCGAGGTCGAAGCGACTCTCGAACCACGTTCCCTTGACGAAGATTGGTTCGTTCGCAGGGGCGGAAATCTCGAGCTTCAGGCATGTGTGCCTCGTCGCCGCCGCCTCCTCAGTATCCATTCTTCTCCGCCTGCGCCACCGTCGTGTTCGACAAGCTTTAGCTGCAGTAGGGAAAACAAACAGAGTCGTCTTCTAGGCTTTTAAACGGTTTGGCGCCGTGCCTATAAAATAAATGCTGTTCCGCCGCATAACGGGCAGGGCAAACGTCGTCGTTTTCCTTTAATTTTCAGAAACCAAAAACTCATCGTTGTGAATGAATGGGTTGGTAAATGCGAAGACTTCAAAGGTTTGGATGATGTCGTTGGATGAGCTCCGTATTGATAATGATGAGGATAGGATCGCCATGGCTGTCCACGTGCTCCAGGGAACTGCTAGGGATTGGTGGCATCTCCAGCCGGAGAGTGAAGTGGTACCTCTTGAGATCACCTGGAACCAGTTTGTGAAGATGTTCCTCGATGAGTACATCCCCCAAACAGTCCGGGACGATAAGAGGGAGGATTTCATGAAGTTGGAGCAACAGTGGGGGCAGAGTGTCACGGAATACACAGAGCTATTCAAGAAGTTGTGCAAGTATGCTGATCCCGTGTACCGGACTTCAGCAGGGATGCGAGATCGTTATGTTCGGGGTTTGAGAGCAGAACTAAGAAAATGTATGGGAGAAGCAGAGAGGGCATCTCAAGCCACTGCATACCGAGCTGCCCTTCGCATTGAGAGGGATGAGAAGATGGCTGAACAGGAGAGGGATGCGAGGCTTGGTACGAAGAAGAGGAAGGAGCCAACCAACTCTGGGGCCACGACTTACTCGACCCAACCTTTCAAGAGGGGATCTGGTTTATCTAGCCAACAGCAGTCCTGGAGCCAAGAGATCTCCACGAGGTATGCACCAACACAACCACTATATCCACTATGCCCCAAATGTGACAAGCGTCATCTGGGTGAGTGCAGGCGTAATATGGGTGTCTGTTTTGAGTGCGGTGAGCCGGGACATATAAAGTGGAATTGCCCACGACTTGCAGACCATACAAGAGTTATTTCTGAGCCATCAGTAGCTGGGGGTAGGGCACAGTCAGGAAGTAGGTTCAGTGGCCGGACTAACAACTTCGACAGCAACAATAATGGTGGACGTTTCAATGGCACCAATACCCACAATGTCAGTCGTGATCAGAGCCAGATGTCCAGAGCGGGTGGACGGCCAAGAGTCTTTGCTATGGAAAAGATGGCCAGTGGCTGTGGAGAAGATGGGAAGGATGAACCAACGCTTTGAAGTGACTTTGTTGGTGATTGAAAGACTTTGAGATGGAACTATTGTTCTTGACTATTTGAATTGGTTATTAGTTTAATATGGTCGGTTAGTAGTATTATGATGTCGGTAGTATTAAGAGTGAAGACTCAACTTTTTATATTGACATGATTTTAATTTCGGGGACGAAATTTTCTTAAGGGGGAGGGAAATGTCACACCCGTACCCATAATTTTAGGGAATTCCTAAATTACCCCTATCAGTTATTAAACCTAAACGAATATAATTGTTGATCCTAACCTAAATTCAAAGGGGAGCAGCCGCTCATCCCACAAGCTTCTTAACCCTCCAACTATAAATATATAGCTACACAAAACCTAGAAGGAGGGAGCCGCAAATTAAAACCCCATTCTTTTCCTCCGCACAAGACTCAGCCACCATCCCGTGAGCTCCCGCCGACTAGAACACATCACCACCGTCGAACCTCCTCATCCCTTCGGCCAAGACACCACCACCGGGAGAAGCGACCGGCTAATGGAAGAAGCGGCTGGATAACCAGAACGAAGGATCGCACGATCTCTCCCGCCGCGAGCCACTGCCAAATCCCACAGCTCCGATCCGTTCTTGGAGCTCTAATAGCAACGACAAGGTTGCGGAGGACGCAAATGACCATCGATCGATCAGGAAGTCACGTATTAGAGGTAATGGATTTGTCCTCGTCCATTTTATTGTAGACTCGGTGATAATTGGAGACGGTGGTAGTTGCAGTAGGTCATTATTTAAAGGGACGAGCTACGAATGCTTATATATATATGGACGAGTGCAATGGAAATACATTGTGATGGATTAGTAACTAAGTTTAGTTACGTGGATGGTATGCATGGCAGTTTAATGATATTAAGGGGGTTGAATTAATGAAATCGAAAATGGATTTATTGATGTAAAGCTAGCATACGGTTATATAATCAGGTGAGCTGAACGTGTTCTATCCCGAGGGGAAAGGTAAAGGAAGAAGGAAAATGGTGCATGGACACGTACAAGGCCTATAAGAACGTTTGTCATCACCGGGGCAAGATATAAATTGATAATCGACTTGAAATTAAGGTGCGTGGTTAAAGGGGGCTAGAGTAGTTTTCGTTATCAGTATATGCATTTAAGTTCAAGTTATGCATTTCAGTTCTTGCTTTAGTTCAGTCTATCCTTATATGCTTTCATATTAAGTTGATTTGTTTACGTTCATTCTTTACGTTTATGTATGCATAGCATCATGAAGCATATGTAAACTACGTTATGAGTCAACCAAATGCAAGTTCAATTATAAGCTAATTAAGTTCAAGTTAATAAGCTTGTATCTTCCCATTGTGCGGGAGATCACCTAATTAAGCTTAAACTTCTCAAGTCAAGTAAGCAAGTATAAGATTAAGTATGACTCTCCATCGTGGGAGAGGTTGTTCAAGCAAGCATGTATAAGATATCAAGTTAACAAGTAAGAATAAGAACCCTCCCTTAACTAGTCGCACGCGGTCACCTTACTCCTTGTAGATGAGGAGCACCTTGTAGATGAGGGGTCATGATATGTATGTCACGATCGGTGCCGGACGCGGTCACCACTACTCCCTGTAGATGGGGAGGTATGCTATGTTACTCCTTGTAGATGAGGAGGTTATGTTCATGATACGTTGGTGCCGGACGGATGTGCTAGTTAGGTCGAGGGCGGGATCCCATATCAAGTTAAGCAAGAAGAAAAGATTAATAAGCAAGAATATGTTAATAATAAGATACTTTTACTAATGTACCCAATAACATACCATAAGCATTGCGTGTGCATGGCTTTCCATTTAAGTATGATAACGAAATTAGGATTAAGACTGACCCCATCGCCCGCACTCAGGAGGTACAAGAAAGCAGGATCGTCCAGACCACTGGTCAAGAGAAAGCTGTTGCTCAGGATGTCATCGTCACAAGGGTTAGTGATTGCAAAAGATTCCAAGTGAACTCTTTCACTTTTGTACTTTTATTAGTAGGCTTGAGACTGATGCTCATTTATGATTTGTTAAGAGGGATTTTCCTACGGTGATTTAGAAATTATTTTTCTGTATTATTTCCATTTTGAGTGATCTTGATTACTTAAGGGAATTTTGGTAAATTTAGTGCTCGGCCGAGCTAGGGTGTTACATTTTGGTATCAGAGCCTGTCTCCCTCTGTCTTCACTTTGTAAGTGAGATACTGGGAAGTCGGTCTCCATGTTTCCTACGAGTATTAAAGGTTTTAAGAAGTTTTCAACAAGTTTTCAAGTAAACCTAAAATTGTTTTAGAGCATCCAGTCTCGCCTACTAACAAGTGCAACGTTTCCAAGGTTCTGACACAATGTCATTGAACTTATGTAGGAGTATGCATAGCGAGAGCTCTCACCAGGGTGATGGTCGGCGGCCGCCCCCAAACTATACCTTGCTTAGGAAAATGGGGGTGGTTGACTTCGAGGGATCCTCTGACCCCGACATTGTCGATGCATGGCTGTTGAAACTCACTCGGACTTTGGATGAGCTCCGTATTGATAATGATGAGGATAGGATCGCCATGGCTGTCCACGTGCTCCAGGGAACTGCTAGGGATTGGTGGCATCTCCAGCCGGAGAGTGAAGTGGTACCTCTTGAGATCACCTGGAACCAGTTTGTGAAGATGTTCCTCGATGAGTACATCCCCCAAACAGTCCGGGACGATAAGAGGGAGGATTTCATGAAGTTGGAGCAACAGTGGGGGCAGAGTGTCACGGAATACACAGAGCTATTCAAGAAGTTGTGCAAGTATGCTGATCCCGTGTACCGGACTTCAGCAGGGATGCGAGATCGTTATGTTCGGGGTTTGAGAGCAGAACTAAGAAAATGTATGGGAGAAGCAGAGAGGGCATCTCAAGCCACTGCATACCGAGCTGCCCTTCGCATTGAGAGGGATGAGAAGATGGCTGAACAGGAGAGGGATGCGAGGCTTGGTACGAAGAAGAGGAAGGAGCCAACCAACTCTGGGGCCACGACTTACTCGACCCAACCTTTCAAGAGGGGATCTGGTTTATCTAGCCAACAGCAGTCCTGGAGCCAAGAGATCTCCACGAGGTATGCACCAACACAACCACTATATCCACTATGCCCCAAATGTGACAAGCGTCATCTGGGTGAGTGCAGGCGTAATATGGGTGTCTGTTTTGAGTGCGGTGAGCCGGGACATATAAAGTGGAATTGCCCACGACTTGCAGACCATACAAGAGTTATTTCTGAGCCATCAGTAGCTGGGGGTAGGGCACAGTCAGGAAGTAGGTTCAGTGGCCGGACTAACAACTTCGACAGCAACAACAATGGTGGACGTTTCAATGGCACCAATACCCACAATGTCAGTCGTGATCAGAGCCAGATGTCCAGAGCGGGTGGACGGCCAAGAGTCTTTGCTATGGAAAAGATGGCCAGTGGCTGTGGAGAAGATGGGAAGGATGAACCAACGCTTTGAAGTGACTTTGTTGGTGATTGAAAGACTTTGAGATGGAACTATTGTTCTTGACTATTTGAATTGGTTATTAGTTTAATATGGTCGGTTAGTAGTATTATGATGTCGGTAGTATTAAGAGTGAAGACTCAACTTTTTATATTGACATGATTTTAATTTCGGGGACGAAATTTTCTTAAGGGGGAGGGAAATGTCACACCCGTACCCATAATTTTAGGGAATTCCTAAATTACCCCTATCAGTTATTAAACCTAAACGAATATAATTGTTGATCCTAACCTAAATTCAAAGGGGAGCAGCCGCTCATCCCACAAGCTTCTTAACCCTCCAACTATAAATATATAGCTACACAAAACCTAGAAGGAGGGAGCCGCAAATTAAAACCCCATTCTTTTCCTCCGCACCAGACTCAGCCACCATCCCGTGAGCTCCCGCCGACTAGAACACATCACCACCGTCGAACCTCCTCATCCCTTCGGCCAAGACACCACCACCGGGAGAAGCGACCGGCTAATGGAAGAAGCGGCTGGATAACCAGAACGAAGGATCGCACGATCTCTCCCGCCGCGAGCCACTGCCAAATCCCACAGCTCCGATCCGTTCTTGGAGCTCTAATAGCAACGACAAGGTTGCGGAGGACGCAAATGACCATCGATCGATCAGGAAGTCACGTATTAGAGGTAATGGATTTGTCCTCGTCCATTTTATTGTAGACTCGGTGATAATTGGAGACGGTGGTAGTTGCAGTAGGTCATTATTTAAAGGGACGAGCTACGAATGCTTATATATATATGGACGAGTGCAATGGAAATACATTGTGATGGATTAGTAACTAAGTTTAGTTACGTGGATGGTATGCATGGCAGTTTAATGATATTAAGGGGGTTGAATTAATGAAATCGAAAATGGATTTATTGATGTAAAGCTAGCATACGGTTATATAATCAGGTGAGCTGAACGTGTTCTATCCCGAGGGGAAAGGTAAAGGAAGAAGGAAAATGGTGCATGGACACGTACAAGGCCTATAAGAACGTTTGTCATCACCGGGGCAAGATATAAATTGATAATCGACTTGAAATTAAGGTGCGTGGTTAAAGGGGGCTAGAGTAGTTTTCGTTATCAGTATATGCATTTAAGTTCAAGTTATGCATTTCAGTTCTTGCTTTAGTTCAGTCTATCCTTATATGCTTTCATATTAAGTTGATTTGTTTACGTTCATTCTTTACGTTTATGTATGCATAGCATCATGAAGCATATGTAAACTACGTTATGAGTCAACCAAATGCAAGTTCAATTATAAGCTAATTAAGTTCAAGTTAATAAGCTTGTATCTTCCCATTGTGCGGGAGATCACCTAATTAAGCTTAAACTTCTCAAGTCAAGTAAGCAAGTATAAGATTAAGTATGACTCTCCATCGTGGGAGAGGTTGTTCAAGCAAGCATGTATAAGATATCAAGTTAACAAGTAAGAATAAGAACCCTCCCTTAACTAGTCGCACGCGGTCACCTTACTCCTTGTAGATGAGGAGCACCTTGTAGATGAGGGGTCATGATATGTATGTCACGATCGGTGCCGGACGCGGTCACCACTACTCCCTGTAGATGGGGAGGTATGCTATGTTACTCCTTGTAGATGAGGAGGTTATGTTCATGATACGTTGGTGCCGGACGGATGTGCTAGTTAGGTCGAGGGCGGGATCCCATATCAAGTTAAGCAAGAAGAAAAGATTAATAAGCAAGAATATGTTAATAATAAGATACTTTTACTAATGTACCCAATAACATACCATAAGCATTGCGTGTGCATGGCTTTCCATTTAAGTATGATAACGAAATTAGGATTAGGACTGACCCCATCGCCCGCACTCAGGAGGTACAAGAAAGCAGGATCGTCCAGACCACTGGTCAAGAGAAAGCTGTTGCTCAGGATGTCATCGTCACAAGGGTTAGTGATTGCAAAAGATTCCAAGTGAACTCTTTCACTTTTGTACTTTTATTAGTAGGCTTGAGACTGATGCTCATTTATGATTTGTTAAGAGGGATTTTCCTACGGTGATTTAGAAATTATTTTTCTGTATTATTTCCATTTTGAGTGATCTTGATTACTTAAGGGCATTTTGGTAAATTTAGTGCTCGGCCGAGCTAGGGTGTTACAATTGCTGCAAATGCGAAGCAGAGGAATCTCAGCAGTTTGTCAGTGTTCCACCACAAACACAAAACGACATGAATAACGCACTCGCCACTCCATCAGCCGATTGATTTTATACTCGGAATTCCTATGTACAGTTGCTCTGTGACAGAAAATGGCGTATCCGAGACTTGCTCCTTCCAGCTTTCTCCCTTTCCTCCTGCTCAGCCTAATCTGCTCTTTAGTCTCAGCACAGGCAAATGAAGACGCCACGATCAAGACCATGGAGGATTTCTCTGGGTACCCACTTCACGAAAGAAACGACCCTTTTTGTGGTTCAAGCTCTCTACCTACTTCACTCTCGGTGGACGGCGATAGCCTGCAGAGACAGGTACTTGAACGAAGTCGAGGGCCTTTCTCCTTCCTTTCAATTGAATTCGGGTGGAAGACTTCTTACTTAGTGTTGATTCCTGAGTTGGTTAAAGAGAATTGGGGCGTTTTTTTTTTTTTGTCTGCTGTTTGCTAGATTAATGAGCTCTCGACCTTCTCGGATACACCAGCTCCATCGGTCACTAGGATTTTGTTTTCTGACAAGGATGTCTTGGCCCGCAGGTAAATAACTTCAATGGCGATTCCTTTGTGTGTGATAGTGTGAGTACTGAGTAGGAATGATTCAGCGAGTTTTTGTGTGTTTTCTTCTTGTTGTTCACTTGTGGGTTGGTGTACTTGAACATGAAAGGAGCGGCCTTTTGGTTTGCTAATTCATCTCTTTTCTTTCCCACAAAAGGGTTTTGCAGCCTTGTGAAGTTCGTCTATAGGTTGTTGTTGAAGTGTATTTAAGAGTTTGTTGGGTGACAATTGCAGGTACATAAAAAATTTGATGGGACTCTCTGGCCTCTCAGTGAGGGAAGATGCTGTAGGCAACATATTCGGCCGATGGTAAGTCTTGTTTGCTTAATTAATCCATGATGTTGATGATAACTATGTAAACCGAGAGTAGGAGAATGGAGCTCGATGGTCTCATTTGGATGTTAGCTTGGTTTTGGTTTATTTTTCCATGCGCTTCAAGTCTTGCCTTCTCTTTCTGCAGGGATGGCTACAAGCCTGGGCTCCCAGCAGTTGCAACTGGTTCTCACATTGATGCCATTCCATACTCTGGAAAGTATGATGGAGTTGTTGGTGTCTTGGGTGCAATAGAAGCTCTAAATGTACTAAAGAGGTACCTTTTATTTAGGGTTAACACAGTTTTGGTATAAAATGTATCATTCATCAATCGAATTTTATGCGTTGCTGATTTTAGCAAGTAACTTCCTGACACAGATCAGGGTTCCGACCAAAGAGATCACTAGAAGTTATCTTATTCACATCAGAAGAACCAACAAGATTTGGGATCAGCTGCTTGGGAAGGTGAAACCAGCTGCTTGTTGTTGATTAGAAATGGGAATTTTTAAATTTGCTAGCTCTTAGAGTGTATGTTTATCTGCTATGTTTTGACATAAAGCCGACTGTTGGCTGGGAGCAAGGTGCTGGCTGAAGCTTTGAAGAAAACAACAGTTGATGGTCAAAATATATCATTCGTGGATGCTGCTAGATATGCTGGGTATATGAAGGGCGAAGATGACTTATCCAATGTTTTCCTAAATAGTGGGAACTATTCTGCTTTCCTGGAACTACATATAGAACAGGGTCCTATTCTGGAGGCAGAAGGTAGGGTTATAACCCTTTCCAACTTCCCCTTTCGGTATACAGATAGTCTTGATCCTCACTTGTCCACATCGATCTTATTTTGATTCAGGCTTGTCCATTGGTATCGTAACTGCAATTGCAGCTCCTGCAAGCATCAAGGTTGATTTTGAAGGCAATGGAGGCCATGCTGGTGCTGCCTTGATGCCAAATAGGTAATCCTTTTAAACATCTGGTGGTACATTGTGCCATGCATTTTAACTTTTACAGTCTTCCTTCACATTTACAAATCCTTTGACTCTGAAGAATGGTACACATCTTTCATAATTGATATTGATAAGAATTGGATTTTGTGAATCAGAAATGATGCTGGGCTTGCAGCTGCTGAGTTGGCACTAGCTGTTGAGAAACATGTTTTAGATTCTGGTTCAATTGATACTGTTGGTACAGTAGGTATGTTTTACTCTCGTACTGGCACAAGCCTTGCACTCTTTTGGTCGTAGCTTCACCCTTTGATTAGAAGATGTTTTCCAAAGCTAATAAATAGTTCATACTTGCACAGGTATACTGGAGCTTCATCCTGGAGCAATCAACAGCATCCCAAGCAAGTCACACCTGGAAATTGGTATGATTTCTCGAGTCCAGAAGCTTATATACTTGTTGTATGCACATAATCCTGATCAGTGTTTTTCTATGTGGCAGATACCCGGGACATTGATGAGAAACGAAGAAATGAAGTGATAGAGAAAATTCATCAGTCTGCAGTTGCTATAGCCAAAAAACGTAGTGTGTCACTTACAGAATTCAGAATAGTGAATCAAGATCCACCAGCTATATCGGATAAATCTATAGTTAAGGCTATGGAAGATACCTCGAAGGAGCTCAACTTACCTCACAAGTTGATGATAAGCAGAGCTTATCATGACTCCCTGTTTATGGCCAGGTACGAAAGCCCTTTACATGCATACATGAACTGCTATAGCTGTCTTCTTTATTCTTTACTACGAACAACCGACTGCCTCTGCAAATCTTTTTTAACTTTTGCAGGATATCTCCAATGGGCATGCTATTCATTCCATGCTTCAAAGGTAGTTTTGTCCATCAGGAGCTATTTATGCAGTATTACCTCGACAACCAACAAACTACTGACCTAACCTTTGTTACTTGGGTTTTGCAGGATACAGCCACAAACCTGAAGAATATGCTGCTAGTCAGGATATAGCCAACGGAGTCAAAGTACTTGCCCTCACACTCGCCAAGCTGTCACTAGATTGATCCACTTCCCGGGCCCTCGTTGTAAAATACTGCACTTAACAATTCAAGACAGCGCGGTTGATGACGAAGGAATGTATGTGCCATGAATTTCAATAAAGGATTAGATTTTAACCCCATTGTTATCCCACTCTTACCATGTTATGTTCATAGGTCCTGAACCTTGACATTTACTTCTAAAGACTAGTCACAAGAAAGTACTTGCCTCTCAAAGCTTAATGTCAAAGTTAAATATTCATGAAAGCAAAGACATTTAAGTAAAGCAAAAGTACTTCCAACTTCTCAATTTCCCGATGAAATGAACTGTTGTCTATTCACAATTCAAGTACATGTGAGATGTAAGCAGCTTGGTACTAGTACACTCTCTAGTCCAGTAGGTATGGACAATTGCAACATACACGAAATGTACGAAACACAAGGAGAACATCTGCCAGCAAAGAGGCCAAGACTACAACCTCTGTTACATGTTCTTCCCCGGCAATGGCAGAAAATGTAAATGGACACTAGAACCAACCAATACAGCAGAGCTTCAACTATCCATGTACAAAACAGGAGACTGAGAATTAACAACAAGAAGTCTCATATTACTGGCAGGGTTGCAGTCAGATGGTCAAGACGGTGAGCAAGGTTGCAGCCTCAGGGACAGTAGCAGCAAAAGCAGAGTTTGCGGAGGTCTCATCAGGTTTCTCAGCCGCCTTCTCCAGCAGTATCTCAATCTATAATTATCCAGATAAGAAGAGATGGAAATGGAGTTAACAGTTTTACATTGTATCATCCACTCGAGTAAACAAAAGGGAACATCGTCCAACGTAGATATATACCCACCTTTGCCTTCTGAACCAATCGGCCAGTCTGAGTGTCCTTGGATTCAACGCTGGAGATCTTGATACCTGTTACCATATGAAACGTGGTTCAGTCAACACTAAAGGAAAGAGGGTTGCATCAGGGAAAAGGTTATGGTTATGTCAAGGAATGAGCGGGAAAACATACTCTTCTCAACTGCCAGTCCATTGCGCTTCAGATTCTGAGCGATGGTGACCACAGTGGGAATAGCTGGTACCCAAACACAAACCCCACAAAGCAAGCAACAACCAATTTAGTCGCAGTTTCGATCATAATCTCGAAAAGCCACAGATAACTAAAGAGACGGAGAACTTCTGGATGGGAACATGGTTGAAGAGACGCAGATCATAGCAACTAAGCGAAAGAAGCTAGATTAAACTGAGGAATTCCAGAATCAAGAAAATGTACAAGAACTTATCACAGAGACGAGAGTATAGATAAAAGAAGAGCGTTCGAGAAAGAACGATTACCCATTCCAAGAGCAGAGAGCTCGACAGAGTTGTACTGCTTGATGTGCCTCTGCAACAACAGAACGGCGTATTATTCACTTACTACATTCATGTCCAGACCCCTAAATTTGATGCAAAAGAGATTTCACAGACGATTATCACGAACTCAAACGCCGGAAAAAGCTCCGGAGGCGGCGCAGAGCATGAACCGCACAAAAAAAAAAAAAAAAAGCGCAAAGAATGAAAACCTAATTTCGCAAGAAAATTACTCTACGGAACCACCGTTCACTACGGCGGTCTAGTCATCGTCGCTTCGACGCCTAATTTTCTCCCAAACAGAGCACCGCCAAAACCAGAAATCGCAAAAGGGAAACCAGGAAAGAGACTGAAAGATCCATGCGAGAAAGATGAAGATTCTCAATAATTCTACCGAATTCCCTCAATCATTCGTATTCAACGAAATTAAAACATACTAATCTACTCGAGTTTTCCTTGCACTTTTCTTACCTTGGCGAGATTGAGGTAGAAGATGAAGGGATTCTTGGTGTTGGAGACCTTGATGAGTTGCTGCGGCCTCTTCTTCCTCACCTTCTTCTGTGTTGCTTCAGCAACACCAGCAGTGGCCGAAGCGACGGCGTCAATGGCGGTGGTGGAGTCGCCGAGAACCTCTGACACTGGAGCGGCGGCGGAGAGATTCTTGGCGCCGTTCTCTTTCTCCATGGCGTGAGACTTCACGTTGCTGTTGCTGTTGCTGCTGCTGCTATCGGGATCTTTCTGAGGAAGCGGAGCCGTAAGCGCTTGACCTTCCATTGGAAGCAGAATCGGTGGTTCTCTCTCTCTCTTTCTCGCTCACAGCGGTGGAAACTGGAAAACGCGGGAAAATTGGTTACACTGACTGTTTGATAATGGTGAAGACGAAATGCGATAGGGGGAAGAAGAAGGCAGGGGAAACAGTCCGTTTTATATTGTCGATGCACGAATGGAGACGTGACACGTGGATTTCCGTTGGAGGAGCGTAGGGATCTTCTTTTTGGCGGTTAGCGGCCAATGGTGTGAAGAAGCTTTAATGACGAAGTTACCCCTCAGTTCTTGGATTTTCCTTTTTTTCCCTTTTTTCCTTTATTTAACTTAATTCTAATATTCTTTTTTTTTTTGGTCGTACGGAAGGAATTCTAATATTCTATTATTATTATCTCTACAGAGTACAGACCGTGATTGGGCTTTCATAATGGGAGGGTTATAAACTTACAGGCGTTGTTTGTCTCTGGGTGGGAAGCTTCTCTTGGAATAACCCATTAGCCTTAGGCCCACAAATGTACTCTGCTGCTCGAAGTGTAACTTGGGCGGGTTGATAAGCACTAAGCAGATTCAAGTCTAGTTTATATCTTCTTAATCAAGGTAGCAACCTAAATCACTCCCTGGCCAAAACCAGCACGACTACATCGTAAACACACATATACATAAAAGAGTTTGAGTAACTTAGTAGTTTCTTTTGATAGAAAGCATAAGTAGGGATTACAATTTTGACTTGATCGGTTGTATCTTATCTGTTTTGAGACGAGTAGTACTCGTCTTATAAGCGAAGCGATCAAGCATGAGTACTCTTTTTTACCTCATCTGTCCTGACTCGTTCTTGCATAAATTACACGCAATCTTTACTTTGATTACTTACGATTTTGTTTTTATTACCTTATATTTTAGCTAAAATAAAGTTCTAAATATGTGAGATCTCAATTTCTAGAATAATTTATCATATTATAGTTTTTTTTTTGGTTTTTAATGAAAAAATGAATATTACTTATATTTTCTTTTATGTTACATACCCATATGGTTCGACCCGCTCCTCATGATAAATTACCCACCCCAACCTGTCTCATTGTCACTCTTAGTAGTATGACTGCAAATTCGGGAGCTGTTTGGCGATTAACCGCACATCGAATAACATGGTATTAAAAGGGTCTTGTCTTCTCATATTGATCATAAACTACAAACTACACCGATTTAATGGAAACCCGTATAGAATACAAAATACCGACATACCATGCAAATTATAATATTAGAATATAAGAGAGACTGAGATTTTTTAATGTGATATCGTCATAATGACACTAGTATATGCTGATGACAAAACGCATTGTTTGGACCATAGGCAGCAAATAAAGGCGTTTATACCGCCTATGCAGTGCCTATTCGTGATTAAGCACCTTGAGGCGTGATTAGCCAACTGGAGACGCGGCTAAACACTATTGATGGATTAATGGAAGTAATAAAAAAGATGGTTGTCTACTCCAAAACAACACTATCTCCTTCGACCCTTCTCACAATTGGGAATATAAATCCCAATTCCCTTGGAGTATAACGAGGAGACAGAAGAGAAGGAGGGGGAGACGATTGCTTTTGACTTTTGAGGATGATAAAGATCAAATGGTTACTAAACGGATCTATTTGGACGATAATGAATGAACTTGTCTTTTAGTTATTATTTTCATGAATTTGTTGCATCTGCGAACTTGTGTTTTTAACTTCTTATGAATTTAATATTCTAAGAAATTGTGACATATTCTATTTGTTATTTAAAGTTACCTAAATTGTTAAGTACAGAACTAATGTTGCAAATATGATCCCACCAAAAAAAAAAATTTGCAAATATGACGTGCAATTTTGCCATGGCTATCAATATCATATAGAATTAATGTTGATCTTGGTAGGTCTATCTCGTTATAGGTAAGACACCATCCACCTGTTCTTCCTTTTGTCCTCCTTTGAACCTGTTTAATAATAGAAAGAAGATGCTGCAACAACAACCATCAGTGGCCGATCTAGGGGTGGCAACCCCGGGTTACGGCCCAGCCCTTCTCTGGATCCGAAACTAGTATAGCTCTTATGCGTTTATCGATTTTAGTCATTCGGCCCACTATTATTTTATAATACAATTGTGTGTAATTAGGAAAATGGTAAGATGAACATATTCAAATCATAACTCTAAATTTAGTCTAGAAATTCTAGCTCAAATGAGTCTTGTCTAAAGAAAAACAAACAATGAAACCTAAAAGTCTAAAACGTAATAGGCTAAAAGAAATATGAGATTTGTTTACTTGAAAAATCACTAGAGCATGTGGTAAAAATAGGGATGGATACACAATACAAATTGATTAGTCGATTGATTTATCTATGTGTAATTCGAGTGACCAAATGTGTAATTTAACAGTACATTTACCTTCGCGTAATGTAGCTTCAATTTCGATCGTTCCTATCTGCATCTTCAGATTGTTTTCCCTCGGCTCCCCGATCTGGCTGCCGTTAGATTCTTCGTTTTGTGTTGGATTGCTTGAAAAATGTAGGTTGAGAAATTGATGGGAATCGGGGTGTGTTTGAAGTTGGTGTTAGTTTTTCATTCTGTTTCTCCGTTCTTTGCGTTATGCTTCTTGGCTTTCCTTTTAATGGTGATCGACCGTTTTGGGGTTTTTGCGCCTGTTTTGTGGTTTGAGAGTTCGAGCTGAAACGCCATCAGAAGCCATTTGCCTGTCTATGCTTGCAAAATTGGTTTGTTCGTTCTTAATAGGGGTGCTATACGGTTCGGTCCGTTTAAATTGGACCAAATTGATCCGGTCCCAGTCCGGTCTTTTCGAGAATATAAGGACCAAAGATTGGATTGTATACAGTCTGGTCTTGATCCGGTCCAGTCTTGACCCGGTCCGGTTCCAATTTGTTCTTGATTTTAGATTGAGCTTGTGGAGATTTGAGTGCTGGGGTCTCTTATCCGGTCTTTATCCGGTTTTTTCCCTCAAATCTAAGCACCAATATGAGATTGGATTGTTTGCTATCCGATCCCGGTCCGGGTTATACAGTCCGGTTTCGGGTAAAACCAAACAGTCCGGACCAAATAGCCAGCCCTAGTTCTTAATTAGCAAATATAAAAGTAGGTGAAATGGAACGAATGAAGCTGGCTCCCCACTTTGCCATCCTCAGTTTTCCTTAGTGCTTCTCCAAACTTTTCCTGGGTGGGCTTGACTGGGGTTTTATGATGCATGATGTCTCTTGTCCATGTGAACTCTTGAATTCTATGTCTGGGTTGCTTTCATACATTCTGGTGTTGACTCATTCATGCTTTCTTTCAAGTAATTTGGTGATATGATTCACTTCCATTCACCCCACAAGTTGGAATCAATGGTTCAAGACTCTACTTCGATCACATACAAGAAGTGGGAGATTCGGCTAAGTGTTTTGGCAGCTTCAGGTAACCCACTTTGGGAGCTTGGTTTGATCAATTGGATAAATGGAAATGGCATCTTAGGCGCTTGTTGTGAAGCTGGGATATTTATCTACACAATGGAAAGCTTGGAAGCTCGAAGAGAAGTTAGAAAGTTCAATGTTCAAGCCGTTCAAAAGTGTATGCACAAACTGGTAAACTGGCCGAATTTGGCCAAGTCTGGGAGTGTGATCAGGAGGCTCACTTTGGAGCTCTATTCCAGGAAGAAGAATGAGGGTCGAGGCAGGAGCTCTTTGCCACATGAAAGTATGTATGTCAATCTACAAAGGAAGGGCATTGGCCGATGAATCACTTACCAGAAGGTCTTCGATCGAGAGGCTCAAAGATGGTATCGAAGACTGTTCTTTTACTGGAAGCTGATGGCAAGAGTTGTTTCCTTGTTTGCACCGGATTGTTTTCCTTTTCTGTTTGTAATTAGTTTTTCGTGTCCTACTGTAATTGGGAAGGCTCGTAGTTTTAGTTGCCCTAGTTTTCTATTTAAACACTCGTCGATTGCGTTGTAATTCGTTAGAGTTTAATCAAAGAATCCGTTTGTTCATAGAGGTTTTGTCTCGTGAATTGTCCTTGTTTGAGGGGATTGTATTCCGTCAATCAAGCGAGCTCAGTATCAATTGAGTATCCACCTCAATTGTGGACGAGTTGCGATTGCTAATTCGATCGAGCCTCTTCCCTTCATTGGTGCGAAGTTGCACGTTCGAACACCATCCCTTTTCTTCCCATGTTTTGCGTCGAAAAGCTCATACTCAGTTGTTTCATTGGAGTTGGACAAATTACAGCACCCTAGCTGGGAATTAGGGCGCCATCATTGGGTGTGTTGGTTCTTTATCTTCATCTGTAACCCGCAATTGGGTACGTATTTTGATCAAGCAACAAACTTTTTCTTGTCAAGTGAGAGTTCTCTCGTTTGTCTTTATTGGACTGTCTATGCGCACATGTATTATCGATCTATCTAGCCTTGAATTTCAGCAGGTGACTGGTTGGTGAACATATCTCTCATAGGAAGTGCAGGTGTGAAGCTTTAAGCATCCAAGGTTTAAAAATAGAAACATTCTTGTGCTTAGTAGCTAACGATGTTATAAAGAATTCCTGTTTTGTTTCGATAAATTACTTTGAAATCAATCGGGTCCACTACAAGTCAAAATCACAGACTTTGACGTTCACTCAAAGTTTCTTGCACAACAGGGAAGATAGATCGATTAGAATTACAGCCCTGTGAATGATCTGTTGGTACTTAGCTATGGTAACTTTTGTCTGTGTTATTCAAGGAGAGGGAAAATTTCAACGTATGAAATAGTTGCATGGGATTTTGCTGAAAGAACATGTAAGAGATATATGCAAATAAAAATAATTCTGATTTTCTCTTCCTGGTTGTTGTAGGCAATGGGGGCAGAAATTATGGATATATGCATTGATAAGGAGCATGATTTTGCCATAGCTTATCAGAATGGGGCTTCCCGTGATCCAGATCAACCTGCTGTGATAAATCAAGATAAATGCATGAATCCTACGAGCCAATCACTGTTGATGCTGAACAACTGAGTGTGGAAGGGAGCACTGAGTTGAAGGAGTATGAAGTGAAGGAATGCACAACTGAAGTTGTTGTTAAGACTATTGAGTTTTCCCTTGTTGGACAAAGTAAAGACCACCAGTCTGCAGTAAACTCACCATTTGAGAATGATTTACATGAGAAAGTAAAATCAGGAACCAAATCATCAGAGGATAGGAACATGTCTCATAGTTCACCTAAAAAACATGCCTCAACCATTTTCCCTAGCAAATGAAAAGCGTGCATCATCTAGAATTCGTCCTTCTGCAAATGCTTGTCCAAATAAAAAATCTAAAGGAAACAATGTGTTGCGTCCCAACTCCCAATACGTTGAAACAGAATCAGGTAGCTACTGTTTGTGAGAATGTTTTATCCACTAGATGCTGAATATTTCCAAATTCAAGAATTACTTCATTATCTGATAGGGTTCAGCCTACAACATTGGTCTTAGGAGGGTGAAGAGAAATCCTCAGTATTAGTTGTTATTTGTTATTGCGGTTGTTAGAATTTAATTCGTATATATGGTGTACTGTTTTATGTTGAATGCAGCCTCTTTCAGGGGATAGGAGGCCACTGCAACCGAAGAACAAGAAGCATCCTAGAGAAGAAGATTCGTGTTCTGTCACTAGCTCGTATCATATTGCTTCTAGATAATAAAATTCAGTGCTATATCTCCTTTTTTTGCTACTCAACTCTTTGGTCGCCTTGCTTACTTCTTGTTCTCAAATTCATTTGTAAACCTTGACTATGTTTAGTACTGGAGCTTCTGTGCAGACAATGAAAACAAAGTCAATTATTGCTTCAACTCCAACATTCAGATCTAGCCAACGTGCTGAGAAACGGGAGGTATACTTTCAGCAGGAAATATTGGATTAATTTGTGTCCTATATTTAGCTTTGTGGTAGGTAGTTCTAATCACGACACCAATGCCTCTGTTGTGTTTCTTATCTCTTAGTTTTACTCAAAATTAGAGGAGAAACAGCAAGCTCTATAAGCTGAGAAGACCGAAAACTAAGCAAGGACAAAGGTAAAAAAAAAGTGTCTCAGTACCACAATTTAGTAATCGATAGAAAATCACTGTTTCTCGGCCATGTATCAGCTCATCCTATATTATTGCATTTGACTGTTGATTCCCGAATTTGATGATTCTGATGTACTTTGCTATTGTACTTGTTCTTTTGTTTCTGAAACTGAAGGAAGAGATGGAGGCAGCTATTAAGCAATTACGAAAGAGTTTAACATTCAAAGCGAACCCAATGCCAAGTATCTACCATGAAGGTCCACCCCCAAAGACTGGGCTTAAAAGGTATATTATAGCATATGAACTCTTCCAGGTCTCATGCCACCTTGTTTGATGCTATCTTATAGTAAATCGCTTAGCCAGTAAATAGCTTTGAATCTCTTGCATGTGAAAGTAGCTTTAGCTAGGACGCCTGCGACTGTTATTTGCTTGGGGCATGATATGTGATAGCTTTTACTTTTAAATGCTAGGTCCCAACAACTCATGCAAAATCACCCAAGTTGGGAAGAAAGAAGAGCACCAGTGATGCTCCATCCCACACAAACAAAACCACAGCAGCATCGAATCAGGGAAATCCTCAGGAAGAAGGTATCAAAGTTGTTCCTTTCCTCGATGCAAATGGACACAACCACACAGGAATCGGGATTAAATGTTAATCTACGGGGTGAGTTGTTCGTAATTTATGACGCAACTAGGGTTCATGTTCTTCATTGTCTTCCAATCAATTTGCCTGTCTATATGTTTGTTGTTCTTTTTTCCCTTTACCCATTTCAAGATTAGTGTAATGGCTTTTTTTGTTGTCTTTGGTAATTTGTGGAAGTGTAAATCTGTGTTTAAGTTAATAACTATGTTATTTATACAAAGAGAATCATCGATCTTCGGTTTTTGCAATAAACTTCCTTGTACTGTTTTGTTCCCAACTCTGGGGCACTGTGATTTGTACAGCAAAGCAGAGAACTTTTGTTGTTAAACAGTGTGTTCATTGTATGTTTGTGGAACAATGATGAGTGAGAGGTTGTAAAGAAGAGGGGGAGGAGGAGGGCCCTGGTCTTTTGCCTCTGTGCTTTTCTTTGGGTGGGAAAATTGGATGTTGTTGCTTAAATTCCCCTGTTTTGCACAATAAGGTAAGTGTAATCATAAAAATATTCTAAGAAGAAATCTCTCACAAAGCCAAAAAGAGATTGAAGATTTAGCGTAAAGCATCTGTCGTTTCAAGTGCTTTTTGGTTTGTTTGGGTTTTACTATTGAGAAAAAAACACTTCTCTTTTTCGGGTTCTTTTTGCAAACATGGGGATCGGTTAGCTTGTTAACCCCTTTATGGGGTTAAAAAAATGACACCCCCTATTAATTATAGTTAATTATGGTATTAAATTCCCGTATACCCAAACATATTTCTTTTTTAAAAAATTATTTCCTAGTAAAAGTTGTAGTTCTTAAAAAGTTATGCTCAATCAAAAAAAAACTTTACGACGTTCGGATTGAGGAGCTAAAAGTTATGGCCTTCCAAAGTTTGGCTAAATTGAAAAATTGCTCGTTCGGGGTAACAAACGACATTTTTTTTAGATGAAGTCTTGTTGTAGATTGAAAGATCTTGAAAAGTTATATGGAAACAATTTTTTTATTTTTTTGCTACAATCGGATAACCGAGCACAAAATTACGTTTGTTTTAAGTTTCAATGTTACGTCAGGCATTCACCGCGGCCGTCAACCGCGGTGTGCATTCACCGCTTTGGTCTGCCCGGTGAATGCATTCACTGCGATTGACAACAGCGGTGATGCTCAAATATGCGTATTTTGGGAAATTTTTTTATAATGTGTGTATTTTGAGAATTTTTTTAAAAGACATGTGTATTTTGGTATTTCATCCAACTTGTTCACCATTTCAGTGAGAGAGACTGATAAAACCGATATTACCATTGCAAGCACACCTACAAAAGTAGGATACAAAATCCAAGTCATTATAAATAAAATAAAGTCACATGATATGCTTTTCTTCTCATATTGAAATATAAAAATGATATTATCATCGTCTCAGATTGAAATATAAAAATGATAGGACATATATTATCAATTGAGACTTCTCACGGTGAGACCTTCTCTCATCTTGAATACTATCTCGATATGAAACTTGGTTGTTCATAGATATTCAAAAACCGAAAGAACAAATATAATATTCATCGTTAAAATCAAACATCTCTCATTGAATATATAAGCAATAAAAAGTACTAATCAAACCACAAGACGATTGCTATGAAAACAGTCAAAAAACCAAAGCGGATGAGACATAATTCTACTTGCTCAATATTACAATTTCACTGAGTAGCCTTTTCGTGTTATGTTTGGTAGATGTTGATTCTTGTGGTTTAATATTTTACATTTGAGCAAGTTGGTGAATGCAATCTCCATTAAAGGTAATTTTCTTCTTTCTATTTTGAATCTCATTGTCACAGGTAGTCGTAGCTCTAGTTGCGTTCCTGGTGATTGTTCCAGCTTCATTTTACGATCGAATGGCTAATTAATTAATACTTATTTTTATGAACCACTAACTTCATATTCAATTAGCTTGATCCATTTTATGGAACGATTGTACGATTATTATTGAGTTATTGTCTCATGTATATTCTCAGTGAAGGAGTTGGGGCATGTTCCATGAGTGAATAGCCCAGAGTCAAGAAGTCATCAAGACATTCGATATGACATGTTTGAATTTGTAATTTGAACGATGTATACTTTTGGCTTTTGGCTATATTTTCGTTTTTTCGAATCTGAAGTTGAACTTTCATGTATGCTTTGGAATTTAGACTATCGTTTGTGTATGATTATGGATGCTTTAGAATTTAGAGTGTCTGTTGTTAATGATTAAGGATGTTTTAGATTTTAGATGATTATTGAACTTGAAATGTTTAAGTGTTCCAATTATCAAGTCTCTTACGTGTATACGAGCATATGAACTTATTAAAATTTCTTGAATTTGATCATAGCTCATAGGTAACAACTCTCCTCAATTGAAGTACAGGTTCGAGAAATAGAGTAAGCCTAAACATAATGTACTATTTAAGTATAGTCGAGTTGTTCAATCTCTCCCAATCCAAATTAAACAATTTAACGTGTGAAGGTTGGCTTGAATTTATCCAACGTCCACCCCTAGTCCAAACACTTGTGTTACATAAGGTGTTTTGTTAATGTCTTGATACTTTACATAACACAAGTTCTATTATTCACATAAAGTGACTATCTACTTCGCATGTCTTACTTAACATCATTCTATAAGTGTTATGTAAAATAAAAAATACAATATGCAAAATGCGACGAAGAGACAAATATCTCTAATGAAAGAACTTACCTAGTAATTTATACATGACTTTTTTAGTAGACTTGCACTTTATATAACTACTAGAATTGTTGCCGCGCTTTGCTGCGGTTAGGAGTCTAAACTTCAGCCTGTCGATTCCACTTATAGGTAGTTGGATTGAAAAATAATTATTTTGTGGTTTATTTGCCGTTGATTTTGTCTTTTTTCTAATACTTAATTTTGTATGAAATCTGTTAAAATATAATTAAAAATATTTACTTCCATAACCTAAACGTGTATGAGTTGGGTATGGATACCCATTTATTCAAAAGTGTTTTAAATATACATACAAAAATTAGACATATTTGTAGAGCTTCAAAAGTTTAGGTACCAAAATGTAATAAGGTACTAAAATATAATGTTTCATCAATATTTGAGGACTTATATGCCAAATAAATAAATTTAGGTTATAAATCTAAAGATCTATTGAGCTTAGGTACAGAACTATAATTTGCATAGTTGAGACCTAATTCCTTTTATACTGATGTATTTAAGATGATAATTATTTACTTTTCTATAGAAAAATGGAAACTATTTATTTGATATGTGTAGATACTTAACAAAGCATTCCATGTATAATTGTTGAAAATTATACCCCGGGTGAAAAGGAAAAACTCTAGAGCGAAGCAAAAGGAATACAAACTTGAACTCGCTTAAAATTTTACGCCTTCAAATCCCATAGTAGAAAATGATGACTTTCTAATATGTAATAACCAAATATATTTATGTTTAATTGGACTCGACATTGAGTTGAAAACGTTAGTGGTTCATGGTTCAATTATTAGTTCTCTAGACTGTTGGTGAGTCGTGTATGGACCTGTTCATACTTGTGATTAAAATATATGAAAAGTAGTATACTAATTAGGGTTAAACGAAGATGGCAAAGAAAGAAATAAAGAAAGGGTTATGGAAGGCATGTGAAAAATGAAACGAAGAGAAAGTAGATGATGGAAAGGTTTTGACCAATTCTTTTGGTTGGTCGTTAATACAATAGTTAACCCTTTTCGCCGTAGCAATTTATTGACACTTGCATATGTAGATATCACATATTTTGTTATATGTAGTTAGTAGAAGTTTGTTTAGTACCCCGTAAATGTACTAAACGAGTTTACAAATTCGCACTTGCAATATTTTAGAGTTGTCTCTTTTTTATCATTTATTTAATGTTTCACGTAATGAGCAAATATAAAATGGTAGAATCTTCTCGTAAAATTTAGATACCTTTGGCATAATTTTTCAATGATTTAACATTAAAATTAAATTTGGGGTATCAAAATGTAAAATTTAAAAGTGACTAAGTTGTAATTTGTTATGCAACATTACCTCTACTTCAACTTAAATTTTAAAAATTTTAGGTACGGAAATCTCATTAAATTTAGATATCAAAACATAATTGTTCAATGATTTTACATTAAAATTAAATTTGGGGTATCAAAATGTAAAATATATAAAGTGACTAAAGTAGCAATTTTTTACGCAACAATAACTCTACTTCAAATTTATATATAGTAAATTTTAAAAATTGTAGTTACAGAAATCTCATAAAATTTAGATACCAAAACCTAATTGTTCAATCATTTTACATTAAAATTAAATTTGGGGTAACAAAATATAAATTGTATAAAGTGACTAAAATAGCATTTTTTTACGCAACAGTAACTCTACTTCAAATTTATATATATTAAGGTGTTAGTAGGCGGATAATCAATTATGTAAGACTTGTATAACATTATTCTACACCTATTACGTTAAATCAATGCACTTTATCCAAATATTACAGAATAACCTTGTATTTATGAAATACAACATGCAAAATTTGCTTTAACATGTTCATTTTCAAATCAAGATTATTATAGTATCTTGAAGGGAATTCCTTACATAGTTGGATAGACAGATACTAGATATGTCTCTCTGTACATGGGCTATTAGGTAGGCACGATGGGGTCAGGTTAGCTGGAGATCTTCAATGCAATTACTAAAACAGAGCAGCTTGCTTTGACCTAAAAAATATTGTTAACAAAATACACTCTGCCTTCCATTCATCAAACTGACATTTGAATCCACCCTCTACCGAACTTCACTACTATTATTGTCCACTATAGATCTCTGTCATTTTCAATCTCCCCTCTATATACCACGAAACATTACAATTGATTCTGATTACACGAAACCTCCCACTCCCAGATTCAGCTTAGAAAGGCTCTCGTGACAATTACCCACAAAAAGCAGAGGATGCAAGTTTGCCCAATTTCCTCTCTTCATAATGACTGTGTCCAAAAAAGAGATCGTTGATTAGATCCCACTGTTAGAAATCGAACAGAAAAATTAGGGTTACCGATCTGGCTGAGTCGCGGACTAGGTCGTTCTCTTTAAGACGTTCGCGGTACTGCCTCGTTATTCGCACAGCAGACTATCAGCCGGTCGCCTCCAGGATAAAACAGACACTCTTGATTTACTCAGCGGTTTTGTGCGAAAAACCGGAGCTCTTTGAATCTCACTCTCTCTTGTGTTTCTGCTCTCTGAGGTGTGTTTAGAGGGTTTGGGGCGTCTCCTATTTATAGGAGCAGAAAACCCAGAATATTCCCTCTTTCTTTGGGAATAAGTCATATTTTAATCAGAGAGATAAATACTCCCATAATTAAAATATAACCTATTAAGATAATTATTTCTAATTATCTCCATAATATTCCTTTTATTAATTATCCATCTTAATTTCGTATTATGGGAAAATACTGGATAATTAATTAGGAATTTCATTATAGCTTTTCAAAGCTATTCATCCCAACAATCCCCCACTTGAATAGTTTGAAACTATCTCTGAGCATCAACAGTTCCATAAGATCGGGCATAAACTAAGGTATCGCGAAGATTTGAACCTTAGCGTAGTGGTTACACTTCCGATTTCATAAGGGTGACTCGTAGTCTTGAACCCTATCTCAGACAATGTAGCACACCGGATCTTTTCATTGAGTGATATTCTCTCATAGGCCGTGCGTTTATGGCCATGCACGTTATCCCGTTTAGTGAACGCTCTAGCAACTTTGTGCCTCCAAAGTTCCATAGGAAGCGGCCCCACTCCCACATTCACATAGGTGAGTCTATCAGAAGTACCCCCAAAGTAAAGTACTTCACTCCACATAGAGTATAGATCTCATTAAGAGTTTAACTCAACCTCTAAGGCTTTGGGATTCATGCTTCACTATGCATGAACTTTTCGCATACTACTCATGACTTGTTATTACCCATTGAACCCATTTCTTGGGATCTCCAATCTATTGGGTCGGGTTACCATCACTTGTAGTCCGTGGTTCGGTAGGCATAAGTCCCATACCCTTGGCGGTATTTTGGACTTTCTCTCTAGATAATCCTTTCGTCAAAGGATCAACTAGATTCTGTTAGGACCTTACAGGATCCACCCTCATTGCTCCTATCGTTAGGAGTTCTCTTACAGTACTGTGCTTACGACGAATTTGTCGTCTCTTTTCGTTCTAGAACCGGTTCCCTTCTTTTGCAATAGATGCGGTGCTATCACAATTAATCAACTACCGGAGGGATCGGTCTTTCCCATAAGGGAATCTCTAGTAGTGACCCTCTCAATCAACTTTCCTCTTTACTAGCCATTGCTAGTTCTATCATTTCTGATTCTTAGTTGATTGAGTCAGGATCGTTTACTTCTTAGACTTCCAAGACATAGCTTCTCTATCGATTTTTAAATCACAGCCTCTTGTTGTCTTGGAGTCCTCTATAGGGTATTCTAATCCGCATAATTATACCCTACCAATACAACAAAACCTTTGATAACAAATACCAAGGTTTTCCTGTTCTTTTAAGGTGTCTCATGACTCCTTTCAATAGCATTTCAATGCTTCATACTAGGACAATCAGTAAGCCTGCCAAGTACCCCCACTATGTCGGGTCTCATGTTTACCAGCTGCCTCCCGCAGACTGTCGATGCTAGTATATTCTAACTTTCTCTGTTTCTCACACTGTTTCCAGTGTTCTTTAATATTTACACTAGCATCATCAACCATTTATGCAGGCATACTGCTTGTATTTCTTCTAGATCTTAACTATGAAGTTAAACTTATCTATAGGAAATCTATTCATTGTCATAGTTACATAGATCTCCTAGCTTACACAAGCTTCATCGAGAACATTCAAAATTCTCAAACATGGTTTTTTCATATCGACATCACGATTCTTTGTACCAAAGATCGACGTGTCATTCATAATGCAAGTGTCATTCTCAAATTTGTACTAAATGCACTTGTCACTTTCACTTTTAAAACCATGAGAGAGAACCAGTTTATCCATGCCATCGTCTTAGAGTCTATT